TGCCCACGTCCCGGCAGTCCAGGGAGATCTTGATAGGTGACCATCCCCAGCGTGGGAAGAGCACACCCACTCTTTCCTGCAGCCCCCCCCCCCGGTAAGGGAAAGAGATGGTCAGAAGCATCTATTTACAAGGACTTGTTAGAAAACAAAACCCCAAGGTGGCTGTCACCAATGGAAGCGAAAGCCTTGAGAAAGGTCAATATGGAGGTCAAATGGCCAAAATACTGGGAAATTTTGGAACAAGATGGAGATAGACTGAAATTGCAGAGTTTTGAAAAATTAAAAAACAAAGTGCGAGACTGGCTTCATTATTTTCAGATAATGGAGGCATTTAAATTGGACAAAAAAATTGGCTTCCAGGTGGAAAGATCAAAACTAGAAACAGAACTGTTAGAACCCAAAACTAAGAATTTGTCAAGAAACTATAACTTGCTGCTGAAATGGAATACTCAGGATGAAACGGTAAAATCGACTATGATTAAATGGGCACAGGACGTTGGACATAACATTATGTTTGCTGACTGGGAACAGTTGTGGACCACAGGTATGAAATTTACGGCATGTAATGCCTTAAGAGAGAATATTATGAAAATGATATACAGGTGGTACATAACCCCAGTCAAGCTTGCGAAAATCTATCACTTGCCCGATAATAAATGCTGGAAATGTAAAGAAACTGAAGGTACATTTTTCACCTTTGGTGGACGTGCCCAAAGATTAAGGCTTTCTGGGAAATGATATATAATGAATTAAAAAGGTATTTAAATATACCTTCCCTAAGAAACCAGAGGCCTTTCTCCTGGGCATAGTCGGCCAAATGGTGTTAAAAAGGATAGAACTTTCTTTATGTATGCCACAACAGCAGCAAGAATACTCATCGCAAAGTATTGGAAGACACAAGAACTTCCCACGCTGGAGGAATGGCAGATGAAACTGATGGACTATATGGAACTGGCGGAAATGACTGGTAGAATCCGTGACCAGGGAGAAGAGTCGGTGGAGGAAGATTGGAAGAAATTCAAAGATTATCTTCAGAAACATTGCAAAATTAAAGAATGTTAGAGTGATGTTGGATCGAAAATAAGTGGTTTCCAGCTGTACAGGTTAAAGTTATTGATAGACTAAGATTAAAGATTAGGATTAAAGATATTTAAGGAAATGGAAATTTGGTAGTTAAGAGGCAAAATTTTAATGTTATATTACATTAAGATTAAAGATTAAAGAAGTTTAAGTGTTATATATTATATTAAAATTAAAGATTGGGATTAAAAAAGTGGAAAAGAAATTGCTGGACAAACAATTTGGATTAGAATACAAAAGAGGGAGGTATGAGGAAGTCCAGAAAATAAGTAAATTCAAAAACGGAAATGGAAAAGTGATATTGTTTTTAATTGTTATGTTTCTTTTTTTATTGTTGTTTCTTGCTTTTCGTGTCTTTTTATTTCTTTTTGGGATTTGTATCGTGTATTTGTGTATTTTTTTATGTTTTTTCTGTTCAATTCTTGATTGAAACCTTAATAAAAAATTATTAAAAAAAAGAAAAGAAACATCTATTTACATTGCTTTATTTCTGACTCTTCAGCATAACAGAAATCATGTCTGCTCTCTTCAAGCATTGGCAAACAAGTGACAAAGACTTCCTGTACTTCCTGTACAAGAGCAAGAGGAAGAGCTCATATTACACTCTGAGCTTATTCCGGTGCATTGCCCTGTGAACTGACTGTCCCTCTGTTTCCCACGGACAGTCCCAACATTCCCATCATGTTTTGTTTTCAAGCTAGCAGTTTGCAGCTGCATTGCATCCATATCACAACATTAAGGACTTTTTTAGATCCTGTTTGTTCGTAGCATGATGAGAGGGCCGTGATGTCTTGTTCTATCTTGCTAACTTTTAAGGAGGTTTGTTTTTTAAGGGATGCTTTCTCTTTTATACAAGCTCCTCTGGTGACCGCTTTCATTGCATCCCATAGGAGAGGGGTTGTTTGCTGTCTACATTGTTTTCCTTGAAGTAGTTTTGGAGAGTTTTGTGAGACTCTCTCTGTTTATTTGTGGTTAGGATGGGACTGAAGGACCATGATGGGGTGGCTTGGAGGGTAACTTCTACTGGGGCGTGATCTGTGATTTTAATGTTACCTACGTTGATTGATTCTACTGAGGGGATCCGACCTTGTGTGAGCAGAATGCTGTCCAGGTGGACACTGTGCCATAGCGCCCAGACAAGAATGTGTGGCTGGTGTCTCCTGGGTTTTCTTCACCCCAAATGTCAGAGACCCCTGTTTTTGGCATTTTTAGCAAATTGTAAGAGTCCTTAATTGTTGGGGTTTCCTTCGGAGGAAGGTTGCCCATGGGGTTGTAGGGGGGGTGTCTTTCAGGGATATGCTTTTCATATTTAGGTTGAGGTCACCCCCCGGAATTGCTTCCCCTTCGGAGGAGAGGAACTTGTTTAATGTTTTTTGGATGAAATCTAGCTCTTTCAAGTCTGGGGCATATATGGAGCCAATTGTCAGTTTAGTTTTGCCATCTAGTGTCCCTTTAGCAAAAATGAGTCTGCCTCTTTTGTCTTTGAGGACTGTTGCGGCTTTGAAGTTCAGGTCTCTACTGAGTATTATGGCTACTCCACAGGACTGAGCCAGGTGCAACTCATTGTTGACTGAAGCAGGGATCGCTCAGGAGTTTGGGAGGGTTGTGTATTTATTGTAGGAAGGTGATGTGTGGTTTCATGGTGTTTACATACAAGGTGATGCATTTTCTTTTGATGGGGTTTCCCAACCCCCTCACATTTAATGAAATTGCTTTTAAGCTAGCCATCTTGCTTATCTACTATATAGGGTGATTCCATGCCAGCCAGTTTGGGTTGCCCTGTGTCTCTCACCTTGCATTGTCCATCAAACCAGTGAAATTGCGCTGACCTAGAGGTTAAAATTAGATTTGGGTTAAAGAGTGGGGGGTGGGTTGCAGAAAGTATCCCCTATGTAGTCATATAGGTGTTTATTTGGGGTATCATGGGCCATCTGGCATTTAGCCAGTTAGTCCTAGGTCTCAGCTGGCATGGAGTTCTTTGTTCAAGGTCATAGAATCATAGAATCATAGAGTTGGAAGAGACCCCAAGGGCCATCGAGTCCAACCCCCTGCCAAGCAGGAAACACCATCAGAGCACTCCTGACATATGGTTGTCAAGCCTCTGCTTAAAGACCTCCAAAGAAGGAGACTCCACCACACTCCTTGGCAGCAAATTCCACTGTCAAACAGCTCTTACTGTCAGGAAGTTCTTCCTAATGTTTAGGTGGAATCTTCTTTCTTGTAGTTTGGATCCATTGCTCCGTGTCCGCTTCTCTGGAGCAGCAGAAAACCACCTTTCTCCCTCCTCTATGTGACATCCTTTTATATATTTGAACATGGCTACCATATCACCCCTTAACCTCCTCTTCTCCAGGCTAAACATGCCCAGCTCCCTTAGCTGTTCCTCATAAGGCATCGTTTCCAGGCCTTTGAACATTTTGGTTGCCCTCCTCTGGACACGTTCCAGTTTGTCAGTGTCCTTCTTGAACTGTGGTGCCCAGAACTGGACACAGTACTCCAGGTGAGGTCTGACCAGAGCAGAATACAGTGGCACTATTACTTCCCTTGATCTAGATGCTATACTCCTATTGATGCAGCCCAGAATTGCATTGGCTTTTTTAGCTGCCGCGTCACACTGTTGGCTCATGTCAAGTTTGTGGTCAACCAAGACTCCTAGATCCTTTTCACATGTACTGCTCTCAAGCCAGGTGTCACCCATCTTGCATTTGTGCCTCTCATTTTTTTTGCCCAAGTGCAATACTTTACATTCTCCCTGTTAAAATTCATCTTGTTTGTTTTGGCCCAGTTCTCTAATCTGTCAAGGTAATTTTGAAGTGTGATCCTGTCCTCTGGGGTGTCAGTGGGTTTTATGATTCCTTGCAGTCGTTCAGTTACATCTTGGATCTTAGCCCCAGGGAGACAGCACACTTCCCAAGACATCTTGTCAGGCCCACAGATCACTGCTTCTGTTCCCCTCAGTAGGGAATCCCCTATCACCACTACACGCCTCCTCTTAGGTCTGGTCGGGGTTCTTCCGTGAGCTGTCCGTTCCAAGGTCGCCTGCACATTCCCTGAGGACTGACTTTGCTGCTCATCTTCATATACCTGATCGACTGTAATGAGGGAGAGATCCTCCAATGGAGTCTGCTCTTCGTCTTCCATGCTAGGGGAGAGGACCTCAAAGCGATTGTGTATTTCTAAACAATCAGAGCGAACCCTGGGCCTCCTACTTCTTTGGGTCACGTTTCTCCATATATCTGGCTCCTGTGTTGGTGAACAAGCCTCCTTCTCAGGGGAGTCCCCTGTCTCCTCCTTGGTGGAGACGGTGTGCTCTGTTGCTTCCAAGAAGAGCTCCAGCTCTCTAATTCTTTGGAGCGTAGCTACACGTTCCTCCAGTTGCTGGACTTTGTCTTTTAAGAGGACAATCAACATGCAATTGCTGCAGGTAAAGCTGCCTGCAACCTTTGGCAAGATGGCAAACATTGCGCAGGAACCACAGGCGACTGCAGCTGTTCCCTCCCCCTCCATCTTGAGAACGTGTCGTTGGGGGTGGCTACAGCGGTCCTCCATCAAAAAAAGCGTGAAGACTGGACAAATAACTCCCCCCCCAAAAAAACCTAGGATACCTCCAACAAACGTTTGAGACTAGCTCCCCTGAATCTAAAAGATGGATCAAACTGCACAGGGAGAGCAGCTAATCAGCCACAAAGAAACACACACACAAGAAAACCCTTTTTCTCCTTCTTCAGCTGCTGCCCTGCAAGTTCTGCCCTGCAAAGTCAGGCCATCCTCCCTGTTGTTTGCGATAGGAAGTGGTCAGTGAAACGGTGTTAAGTGTCTTAATAATAATAATAATTTATTATTTATACCCCGCCCATCTGGCTGGGCTTCCCCAGCCACTTTGGGCGGCTTCCAACAAAATATTAAAATATCATAATGCATCAAACATTAAAAGCTTCCCTAAACAGGGCTGCCTTCAGATGTCTTCTAAAAGTCTGGTAGTTGTTCTTCTCTTTGACATTTGGTGGGAGGGCGTTCCACAGGCCGGGCGCCACTACCCAGAAGGCCCTCTGCCTGGTTCCCTGTAACTGGGCTTCTCGCAGTGAGGGAACCACCAGAAGGCCCTCGGTGCTGGACCTCAGTGTCCAGGCAGAACAACGGGGGTGGAGACGTTCCTTCAGATATACTAGACCGAGGCAGTTTAGAGCTTTAAAGGTCAGCACCAACACTTTGAATTGTGCTCGGAAACGCACTGAGAGCCAATGTAGGTCTTTCAAGACCGGTTTTACGTGGTCTCGGCAGCCACTCCCAATCACCAGTCTAGCTGCCGCCATCTGGATTAGTTGTAGTTTCCGGGTCAGCTTCAAAGATAGCCCCACCTAGAGCGCATTGCAGTAGTCCAAGCAGGAGATACCCAGAGCATGCACCACTCTGGCGAGACAGTCCGTGGGCAGGTAGGGTCTCAGCCTGCGTACTAGATGGAGCTGGTACACAGCTGCCCTGGACACAGAATTGACTTGAGCCTCCATGGACAGCTGAGAGTCCAAAATGACTCCCAGGCTGCGCACCTGGTCCTTCAGGGGCACAGTTACCCCATTCAGGACCAGGGAATCCTCCACACCCGCCCGCCTCCTGTCCCCCCAAAACAGTACTTCTGTCTTGGCAGGATTCAACCTCAATCTGTTGGCCGCCATCCATCCTCCAACCGTCTTTGTGACGCCTATGTTGGATATAGGGTCCATAAGCAATGTTGCTAATGTTATTAACATCACTGGTAAGTTGGGGTAGGGATGAGGGTGTTGATATGCTCTGGCAGCCCCAATGTGCTGCTTGTTTGTCAGATTTTAGCCTGTTTGTGGATTGTTTTATTGAGGTTAGGGTGAAGCAGGACCACCTGGAGGAATTTTACCCTTATGCTTTTCATAGAATCAGTTAGCCATATAACCATATATCCTTATAATGATTTGTATATAATCCATGTTTGAATCATGACGGCTTCTGCAAAAGCTTATAGCAAATTGCTTAGATCGGAAGAATCCGAAATGAACTCTGCCCCAGTTCGCTTCCCTTGTTCTTCTCAATGTCTCGCTAACATAAGGGGGAAGCAATAAATCTGCTGTGCTGGCACTTTCCCCCCTGTCCAGACAGGGTCCCGAGTAGCTCAAACAGGAAGATGCTAACCGCAAAATGTCCCGGTATAGCAGATGGCCACGTAGGAGCGTAAGGGCCGAAGTTCCTTTTTCTTCCTTCTTACCATAAATCAGGGGAAAGGTTAAATGCATGTTCAGACTGAAAAAGCAGAAGTTGGGAGGGAACTCTTTACATGATCAGGGGGCAAGGCTTGAATGCTCTCATTGGTTTTCTTTTTGCTGCCGTGTGTGATTGTATCAATTATGTCATGTATGTACTCAGGTATAAAGCCTCAGGGCGCTGGAGCCCGGGGCCCAGTCTTTGGGAAAGGATTCCACTGGGTCACTTATTGCTCAGCAATAAATATCACTTTCTTTTTCTCCACTGCTGCGTCTGTCAATTCTGGGACACAATTTGAGTGGCTCACTGGTACCTTAAAAATCCTTGCAACAAGGGGAATTATTTTACTTAGTAAGGCGTGGGGAGGGGTGCTGAGAGTGAGTTGTAGATTGTTGGGTAATGGGGAGTGTCTTTTGATGTCACCTGGACTGCTGTTGGGTGGGGATCTCTGTGGAGGTGTGAGGCTGGGGGGAATATTGATCGTGTTAGCTGTATTGATGGCTTGGGGGGAGAGGAAAAGGAGGAGGGGGTCACCAGTCCATTGGGTTGAGGTGATTTCTGGTTGCTTCATTCTGCCTTCTGCCACATTGGCCTCCGCTCCCCGTTCCGTGTCATCGGCAAATGGGATGGGCATCCCCTCAGTTCCTTCATCCAAGTCGTTCATAAAGACGTTGAACAACAACGGGCCCAGGACAGAACCCTGCAGCACCCCTCTTGTCACTTTCCCCCAGGATGATGAGGAACCATGGAGGAGGACAATTTGGGTTCGGTTACTCAAATCCACCTAACAGTTTCCTCATTCAGCCCACATATTAGAAGCTTAAAGGCAAAAATATTATGGGGGACTTCGTCAAAAGCCTTACTGAAATCAAGATGCATTATTTCCACAGCTGTTCCCTGATCAACAAAGTTTGTAACTCCATCCAGAAAAAGGGGAGGAGAGATTTCTCTGGCTTTTCTTGTTTTTGAGAAAGGCATGCTTTTATCTTGTATGTTTATGTTGTGAAATCTTCAGATGAAAGGCACATATATATTAAAAATGATAAAAAATAAGGATATTGACAGGCTGAAACATGTGCAAAGGAAGGTGATTTATGTATTTATTTAATTTGTCTACCACCCGACCCAGTGGTGCCAACTTGAATAAAATATTGGAGGAAGGGGCCAGGTAAGGCCTGCCTTGCACAATCAATCACATGATGCATAAAGGGCATTGGAATGGCAATGCCTATCAACTGGGGGGGTGGCCCCCTCAAATATACTATTGGGGGCAAAAACCCCTTGGCCTGTAAGTGTTGACTCCTGTTCCCACATGTCTCAGGACAGTTACAATATAAAAGCACAACATAAAAACACAAAATACACATCAGTAACTCAACTCCCCACCACATGTTAAAAGGGCCTTAGATGTTAATCAGCCAAAGGCCTGGTTAAAAAGGCGCGTATTAGCCTGGCTCCTAAAGCTATAGAATGAATGGTTTCTCCCCTGTATGAATTCTTTGATGGGAAGTGAGATGGGAGCTCTGACTGAAGCTCTTTTCACATTCCATGCACTGATAGGGTTTCTCCCCTGTATGAATTCTTTGATGGGAAGTGAGATTGGAGCTCTGACTGAAGCTCTTTCCACATTCCAAGCACTGAGATGGTTTCTCCCTGTATGAAGTTTCTGATGCTTAGTGACAGCAGAGCTGTGACTGAAGCTCTTTCCACATTCCCCATACTGATAGGGTTTCTCCCCTGTATGAAGTTTCTGATGCTTAGTGAGAGAGGAGCTCTGACTGAAGCTCTTCCCACATTCCCCACACTGATAGGGTTTCTCCCCTGTATGACTTCTTTGATGGGAAGTGAGAGAGGAGCTCTGACTAAAGCTCTTTCCACATTCCCCACACTGATAGGGTTTCTCCCCTGTATGACTTCTCTGATGCTTAGTGAGATGAGAGCTCGTCCTGACGCTCTTTCCACATTCCCCACACTGATAGGGTTTCTCCCTGTATTATTTCTTTGATGGGAAGTGAGAGAGGAGCTATCAGTGAAGCTCTTTCCACATTCCATGCACTGATAGGGTTTCTCCCCTGTATGAATTCTCTGATGGGAAGTGAGATGGGAGCTCTGACTGAAGCTCTTTCCACATTCCCCACACTGATAGGGTTTCTCCCCTGCATGAATTCTCTGATGGGAAGTGAGATTGGAGCTCTGACTGAAGCTCTTTCCACATTCCCCACACTGATAGGGTTTCTCCCCTGTATGAATTCTCTGATGGGAAGTGAGATTGGAGTTCTTATCGAAGCTCTTTCCACATTCCCCACACTGATAGGGTTTCTCCCCTTTATGAATTCTCTGATGGTTAGTGAGATGAGAGCTCTGACTGAAGCTCTTTCCACATTCCACGCACTGATAGGGTTTCTCCCCTGTATGAGTTCTTTGATGGGAAGTGAGACCATGGCTGTGACTGAAGCTCTTTCCACATTCCACACACTGATAGGGTTTCTCCCCTGTATGAATTCTCTGATGGTTAGTGAGATGGGAGCTCTGACTGAAGCTCTTTCCACATTCCACGCAGTGATAGGGTTTGTCTCCTGTATGAATTCTCTGATGCTTAGTGAGATTGGAGCTCTGAGTGCAGCTGTCTCCACACTCCAAATTTTTGCATGGCTTCTCCACTCTGGGGATTTTGTCGTGTTCACCTTTGTTCTCGATTTCCAATTCATCACAATCTGCAATGGAGACAAAAAGGGATTAGAGCCTCAGGAACAAATGAAGAAGAACTGAAGGGAGTTGGGTGTGTGTTCATTACCTTTGTGGCTTGTCATTAACCAACATATTTCTTATTAGATTCTGATGGGTTGTTGAATGTTGCTTTCTTTGATATACTGTAGTGGTAAAATTGTGACCAAGCTGCGGGAGGCACTGGAAGACAGGGGTGCCTGGCGTGCTCTGGTCCATGGGGTCACAAAGACTAAACGACTAAACAACAGCAACAAAATTGTGAAAGCCTTTTAGAAAAAAGTGCATTTCAGATGTTTGATGGCTCATAACACCACTTCTTTTGGAGTACAGTGGATGCCAGGGTTGCAAACATGATCTGTGTGGGAGACATGTTCACAACTCGCAGCGTTCGCAACCTGCAGCGTTGCATCTGCGCATGCGTGGGTCGTAATTTGGTGGTTCTGCGCATGTGCGAGCACTGAAACCTGGAAGTAACCCATTCCGGTACTTCCAGGTTCGGCTCAGTGTGCAACCCGAAAACACGCAACCTTAAGTGACTGTAACCCGAGGTATGACTGTAATACCATAATATTATATAGCAATGGAAATATAATTTAATGAAGAATGTAGTGCAACAAAATTTGTTCAATTATCTGTATTCTATCAAAGGTTATAGACATATGACCAGAAAAGGGAAGCACAACTTGCTTAGGTTGACTTTTGTCAGTGTATTATGGGAATGCTATCAATTTGGTTGGTAGTTAGCCAGAAAGAGATGTAAAATCGTACTATTAAGTGAACAAGGCTACAGGTATGAAGAAATTAGAAGAAAGATTGGGGAAAACTTAACCAAAGCTGGTCTATATTTTTGAAGAGGTATAAGAGACTCAGTCACTCCAAAATCAGACTGGTAAAGGCAGGAAAAGGTGCACAACAGCAAGTGATGATCGAAGAATGAGAGACTGTGCCTGCATGACAGAAGAAAATCATTACATTCTTCATTAAATTATTTTTTCATTGATATATAGTTTTATGCTATTACTCCCAAAAAAGTGGTGTCATGAGGTATCAAAGCTCTGAAATACACTTTTTTCAAAAGCTTTCCACAATTTTGGCCACTAGTGTAAGTTGTTCATTTTAAAGTTAATGTACTTTTTATATGGGGACAGATTGTTATGATTAATGTTTCTGGTTTATATAAGTGTTGGAAGCTGCCCAGAGCAGCTGGGGCAACCCAGCCAGATGGGCAGAGTAAAAAAAAAATTATTATTATTATTATTATTATTATTATTATTATTATCACTGCTACTACTACCTGAGATTCAATAAGCCTGGCTCTTCTCTGGGATGGATTTTGTTTGGCCCAGTCATGGCATCCCCTCCATCTCCAATGTCAGTCGTCTCTCTGGTCAACCCAAGACTGACAGCAGCAAAAACAAAAACAGAAAACTTGACAGAAGCTACTTATCTTTCCGCACAACTCTGAAGCTAAATATAAAAATTCCTTCCAGTAGCACCTTAGAGACCAACTGAGTTTGTTATTAGTATGAGCTTTCGTTGCATGCTCACTTCTTCAGATACCAACACTGAAGCTGACATTTAAGATGCCTGGGCAGTTCAGACACCCAACCGTGGTATAAAAAGGCAGAACTGGAGGAAGATGGTTCACAGAAAAACTGCAATTTGTTGTTCAAGGTTTATTGTGGGAGTGTTAGGTTCCCAGGTGTTGTATTGGGCGCTGTTGAGCTATGTGGAAATGTATGAGGTTTGTTACATAGAGGTATTTTTTGAATTTCCAGGCAGATAGGACGATCCCACAGGGAGCCTTACCAAGAGAGGCCACGATCCCACGATTCTCCTCCATGACGTCCTTATGCAGAGCTCTCTGGTCAGGATCCAGCAATGCCCACTCCTCGTCCGTGAAACAAACAGCGACCTCTTCAAAGCACACTGGACCCTTAAAGAAAAAGGAAGTGTCCTCTTCTGAGACAGCAGAAATATGATCTGCTACACAATGCTCTGTTCTTTCCTTCCTCTTAATTGCTGTGTTGTTTCGATAGGATTGCTTTCAATAGGATTGACACTTTGACACGCATTCTGGAAACGTATGTCTACATGCTTGGTTCTGGCCTTCAACTGCCCAGATTCTGCCAACTTCAGACAGGGTTGATTGTCTTCCCAAACAGTGATGGGCAGGCAACAATCCCCATAGATCTCTTGCACCAGGCATCTATAGAACTCCAGTTCCCTGCACAATTCCGACAGTGCAATGAACTGTCCTCAGTAGAGGACAGCGCAATGAGACTTTGCTTCCGGGACTTCCACCCAACTAGAGATTCCCCAAACTTTATTACCATCCCAGATACGGACTTCCTGTCATCCAGATTCGCCCCGTCGCTATCTGCCCAGCAAGTAAGCGCCGTCTCACGTGCAGCTGACAGCTTGAGACTGAAGTCCTTGGTATCCTGCAGGTAACGCAGCACCTGCTGGATACCATGCCAGGCATTTACACTGGGCTTTGATGCTTCCCTACTGAGCAGATTGGTAGCAAAAGCAATGTCCGGCCTGCTCCATTGGGACAGATACAACAGACTACCAGAGCTGACTGGAAGAGCTCAGCGTTCTCGAAGTCAACGTGTTCTGCTAGCCGACTGTCTTTCACGTAGCTTGTCTCCATAGGTGCCCTAACCCCTGCTCAATCTTGCCTTTCTGGCTGAGCAAGAAGCTTCCATCTTCAGTCCTGTCTATCTGAACACCTAAGTAGATCCTTACTGCACCCAGGTTCTTGAGCTGAAACCGTTTTCCAAGCTCTTTGGCAAACTTCTGCACCTGTTTGTTTGCCCCTGAGATGTGAATGATGTCATCAACAAAGATCAACACCATTTCCTGTGACTCTCCTGACCCTTTAAGGTACAGGCAGCTGTCAGCAAGACTCTTCTTGAAACCTAGCTTCTCTAAGGCTTTAAGCCATAAATGGACTTGTGAAACTTCCATACAGTATTCGGCTCAAGGCCCTCAAATGCTGAAGGAGGAAGCATGTACAGATCCTCCTGGAGCTCTGAGTTCAAATAGGCCACATCCACATCAAAGTGATACACCTGAAAACCTCTTTGTGCAGCAATGGCTAAGAGCATGTGCAGAGTTTCACTTCTGGAAGTAGGAGCATATACCTCAGTATAATGCAGCCCCTTTTGCTGCGTGAACCCTCTGGCTACTAGCCTAGCCTTGTACTGTGGTTCCCCTGCTCCTGTGGGTTTAAGACGGTAAACCCAGCGGCTGCTCACGGCCTGTTTCCCCACTGGCAACGTTGTGAGGGAGAACACACCTAGAGACTCCATTGAGCTCATCTCCTTCTGCATTGCCTCATGCCATTTCCTGGCTTCTTCCTGAGGCAGTTTCTGAACATCCTCAAAACTCTCGGGTTCACACTGTGCCATGCCAACCCACACACTTCTGACTGCAAACCTGTCAGGCGGTTAACCTTTTGTTGTGCGAGCTGAACGTCTCAACCCAGTTTCAGGTACCCCCTCAGACCCACTAGGACCAGCTAGAACGTCCTTGGCCTCAGAGAGCTCCCCCTCTGACTTACTGCGCCGTTTAGACTTCTCAGCTGAACCTGTGGGTGAGGAAGGAGCACTTCTCTGTTCAAGCTTCACAGCTTTAGGAGAAGTTCTTCCCTCTACCTGCTCTGGGTCAGGACTCTGTGCCTCAGCAGCAGGTTCAACCTCTACCTCTTCCTCATCAGCAGAGCCTTGCAGACTCTCTGAAAGAACATCAGGGTTCCCATGTATGCGTGTCCATCCATTCTACTCACAGAACTCAGCACTGCTGCTGAGCAGAATCCTGGACTGATTGCCTGTTGGATAGGCAAATCTCCACCCCTTGGTCCCTGGCTCATACCCACAGAAAATCATCTTTTGGGACCTAGGGCCACCCTTTCTGAGCTTGGCCTTTGGCACAAGGACCCAGGCATCGCAGCCTGAGCACAGCTGGGTTAAAGTGGTTCTGTTCTGTCTTCTGTCAAGGTCATGCTGACTATAAGAAGAGGCCAGAAGGCCTATCACCGAAATTCTTATTTAAAGATGATCAAGGAAGATTTGTAGCAATTGAAATTCAATCACAAGGAGAGAAATTCTTGATTGTAGGTATTTATGCACCAAATGAAGGAAAATCGGAATTCTTTAAGAAGTTACATGAGACTCTGATGGATTACATGGACTATAATATGATCTTGATGGGAGATATGAATGGAGTGGTGTCTACAAATATGAATAAGGCACAGAGACAGGTAGTCACCAATGACGGTAGACTACCAAAAACTTTTTTTGACATGACTGAAAATATGGACTTAGTTGATATTTGGAGAATGAAGAACCCTCTGGGAAGAGAGGGAACTTTCTTCTCTGAGGCTAAAATGACATGGACAAGAGATTGACCAAATCTGGGTAACCAGGGATTGGCTCCGAAGATCAGCAAAGTGGAGATTTGCCCCAAAACTTGTTCTGACCATAATGCGGTGAAGATGGAAATGAATTTGACTCCAATTGGTTCCTTTAGATGGAGGATGAACGACACTCTGTTTAGGAATGAAGAGGTGACCAAGAAGGCCCAAAAACTCTAAGAGACTATTTTGAGATAAACATGAATCCCACAGTGGAAAAAAGAGCAATTTGGGACGCAAGCAAAGCGGTTATGAGAGGATTCCTAATACAACAGAATGCAATTAAGAAAAGAACTCAGAATGAAAAAAAGGATAAAATCCTGGGAAAGAGAAAGGAAGGAGAGAAGAAACTGAGAGCAAAACCAAAGTCACAGGAGATTCTGAAAGAGATCAAGTTGTCTCAAGTACAATATACGAAACTGATGAATCAGGAAATAGAATGGAAGATTAAACAGATGAGGAAAAAGACATTTGAATCGGCAAATAAGTGTGGAAAATTGTTGGCCTGGCAAATGAAAAAAAAGACAAAAACTCAATACTATTACGAATTTGGAAGTGGAAGGAAAGAATATACAGAACCCAGTGGAGATAAGGAAGTGTTTTCAGAGGTATTTCAAACAACTTTATACACAGGAGAAGCAGAAAGAAATGGACATTGATCGATTTTTGAAAATAAATGGATTACACAAAATCTCTCAGGAAAAACAGCTAATGTTGAATTGTAAAATAACGGATCAGGAGGTGGAAGGGGCCATCCAGAATACGCAATTAGGTAAATCTCCAGGACCAGATGGTTTGACTTCAAGATATTACAGATCCTTGAAAGAATGGTTAATACAATCATTGAAGGAAGTCTGCAATGAAATATTGGAAGGAGAAATGCACCAGAGTCGTGGAAAGAGGCTTACCGTATTTTTCGCTCCATAGGGCGCACCTGACCATAGGGCGCACCTAGTTTTTAGAGGAGGAAAACATGAAAAAAAATATTCTGAATCAAATGTTGTACTAAACTATTTAAAGCAGCAAAGCGGGTGGCTCCTGTCCGCTTTGCTGCTTTAAAGCGAGCCTCAGAGGAGGGAAGGAAGGGGAACCATGGCTTATCTAAGTCCGGTTAATAATGCTGAGCCTGATTTTATATGCATCTCAAAGCCCTTGACATATATACATTATAATGACAGGCCGAGATAGGCCTCCTGCAGAGGAGGAGGGGAGGAGAAGAGAGGGAGCCATCATAGCTCAATGGGGAGAGCATGGAGAAGATCCCAAGTTCAGTCCTTGAAAGCTTCTCCGGGTAGGGCTGAGGGAGTGTCTCCTGAAACCCAGGTGAGCCTCTGCCCATCAGTGAAGACAAAACTGAGCTCAATGGGCTCAGGGGTCCTGACGTGGTACAGGGAAGGTCCCTCTGTTCCTGTTTAAATTAGCCCTTTCTTCAGAACCATGGGGACTACAATCTTAGTTTGTTTTTAAAGGGAACAGCTGTAACCTCAGTGGCTTTGCATGCAGAACACCACACGTTCAATCCCCGGCTTCTCCAGGCCTGAAACTCTAGCAAACTGCTACCAGTCAGTGTTGACATTACTAAGCTAGATGGAGTAGTGGGTCCGACTCCTTATAAGGCAGCTTCCTAGGTTCCCATTTATGCTTCAGATCTGGGCGTGAGGCCTGCTGTCCCTTTTCGTGTCAAGAGGGTGGTTCTTTGCACATCTGGAAGATGACTGTGTCACCTCCCATCACCCTCTTGAAGGTGCTTTTACAGCTCAGGGGAAAGGGCAGGCAGACACAGCATCTGTAAACTGTAGCATCCTGAATTAAGGGAGGGAGGGGAAAGAGCTGATCTTCAGCTTGAAACCAGGACTTGCTCTTTAACCATGCTGCTCCTCCAGCTGCCAATGCCATCCATGTAACTGTGTGAATATCAAGTGTGGGTTGTGTCCAGGAACCTGGGAGGATTTCTTTCACATGAGTGCATGTTTTTCTCTTTAAATAAACAGCCCATGCAAGTTTCCAGCTCTTATGGCCATGCCTGGCTGTCTCAGTGGAAATCTGAGGAGGCTGAGGTGGACTTTCCAGTGGTCAAAGTCTTCCTGCCCGGCATCTATTTCCTGCCCTCTTTCCCCACTGAACTCCCACACCCTGCTTCAAAGCAAGCTACGGAGGGATTCCTCTGCTTTGAAGCAGGAAAGTGGAAGAGGAGCTGCTTACACGAGTGTAAGCTGCTCCCCTCCCACTTTCCTGCTTCAAAGGGAGCCCGGGAGGAGGGAATCCGCTGCAGCCTCGAGCAGCGAGGAGGATCCATGGGTCCCTCCTCCCTCCTCCGTGGTTGCTTTGAAGCAGAAAAGTGGAGAGGAGCTGCTTACACGAGTGTAAGCTGCTCCCCTCCCACTTTCCTGCTTCAAAGCGCCACGGAGGAGGGAGGGACCAACGGAATCCCCTTCCCTCCCTCCTCCCCGGCTCAGCTCAGCAGCCGCGGCTCTTGCTGGCTTTACAATGAGCCGGAAGGAGGGACAGACGGCAGTCCCTCCTCCCGCCTACCTGTAAACCTAGCCAGAGCCGCAGACACACTCTACGCAGCTCTTGCTTTAAAGGGAGAGCTGCGCAGAGCTTGTCGGCAGCAGCGGCTCTTGCTGGATTCGCTCCATAAGACGCACAGACATTTCCCCTTACTTTTTAAGTGTGAATTTATTGAAGGATAAAATTATGAAAAATGTTGGATTGAAGTGAAAAAGGATTTAGAAATATGGACAAATTTGAAGTTATCATTGTTAGGCCGAATTGCTGTGATAAAAATGAATGTGCTGCCAAGGATGTTGTTTTTGTTTCAAACATTACAAATTTTGGATAAGATGGATTGTTTCAAGAAGTGGCAGAACGATATTTCCAGATTTGTTTGGCAGGGCAAGAAGCCTCAAATAAAATTTAAGATATTAACTGATGCTAAAGAAAGAGGTGGATTTGCCCTGCCAGACCTTAAACTTTATTATGAATCAGCTGCTTTTTGTTGGCTGAGAGAATGGCTGCTTCTTGGGTTTCTGGCAAGCGATCCAACAGTGCGCCAGTGTGCAGCCTGCCTTTGCTCCTCCATTGTCAGACAACTCCTGGCTCAGAGAGACAAGCAGGGAGGGTGGCTTCTGGCAGAAGGAGAGGGAGCCATCGGTGGCTCCTCCTTCTCCTGACTCACCTCTGCCTCTCGACCTTCCTCCTCCCACTCGCCTCCTTCCTCTTCTGCCTCCGATTCTGGACTGCATTCTGCCTCAGAGTCTCCCAGCTCACTAAGCCCTGTTATCCCTTCAGCTTCTGACACCTCCTCTTCCCAGGCGTCTCCCTCTTCTCCATCTGACCGCTCATCCTTCCTCCACCTCCACTCCTTGGGCTGAGACATCTTCCCTTCCCGGTTCCCCGGCTTCTTCCTCCCACCATTCCTCTGTGCCCAACCAGTCCATGACAATACTCCATCCCTCGGCCTCTGTCCCCACAAGGCAGCTTCCCCTGACCTGATCTGGTTCCACAGCCGCTGCTTCCCTTCTGCCCCCATGAAAAGATGGATCAGGAGGTCTTGCCGGCATCATTCTGTCTCCTGAAAGAGAAAACAGGTAAGCAGGATGCCAGGCGTGCCCATGTCTCTCACAGGTGAAACAGGGCATCTCTAACTATAGATGGGCCTTTGAGAAAGCCTTACCTGCTGAGTGCATTTGGACATTTGTGCCCATTTCATATGTTAGTCATGCAGAAATACATCTCTCCTCCTCTGGACCCTTCCTCCCAACTCCCCCCCCACAAAACCTTGATGAAAAGAACCCAGAGATTATATGGGAAACCAACAGAATGAGACCAAATGGAGAAAACCGCCTTCCTCCTTACCCAGTGGCCTCTCTCTGGTGTCCAACGGAGGCCTCTCTGCCTCACAGGAATCCATGTCCATTTCCTCAAAACAATCCTTTTCCTGAAAAAGCAACAAGGATTCAAAACAGAGAATGAATGACAAGAAATAGCAGAAAGATAATGGAAAAGTAAAAAACTTTAAGGGTGTGAGATCTCATTCCATGGATGCCTTCCCAGAAAAAGGATGGGCCATCAGCAGAGCATTATGGGATGTTCTCCATCCTCTTTGGAGCCCCTAATAATAATAATAATAATTTTTTATTTGTACCCCACCCTCCCTGGCCTGAGCCGATCTTTTGGCGGCTAACATCATAAATCTAACACAGTATACAAAGAACATAAGAACAGGCAATCGATTAATTAAAATACTTCTTAAAATTAGTTCAAAACAAATTAAAATCTGGACAGACGGCAGTCCACTGGTATAATAATAATAATAATAATAATAATAATAATAATAATAATAATAATAATTTTTTATTTATACCCCGCCCATCTGGCTGGGTTTCCCCAGCCACTCTGGGCGGCTTCCAAAAGAATATTAAAATACTGTGATACATCAAACATTAAAAACTTCCCTAAACAGGGCTGCCTTCAGATGTCTTCTAAAAGTCTGGTAGTTGTTCTTCTCTTTGACACCTGGTGGGAGGGCGTTCCACAGGGAGGGCGCCACTACCGAGAAGGCCCTCTGCCGGGTTCTCTGTAACTTGGCTTCTCGCAGTGAGGAAACCGCCAGAAAGCCCTCAATGCTGGACCTCAGTGTCCAGGTAGAACGATGGGGGTGGAGACGCACCTTCAGATATACTGGACCGAGGCCATTTAGGGCTTTAAAGCTCAGCACCAACACTTTGAATTGTGCTCGGAAACGTACCGGAAGCCAATGTAGGTCTTTCAAGACCGGTGTTATATGGTCTCGGCGGCCGCTCCCAGTCACCAGTCTGGCTGCTGCATTCTGGATTAGTTGTAGTTTCCGGGTCACCTTCAAAGGTAGCCCCACGTAGAGCACATTGCAGTAGTCCAAGCGGGAGATAACCAGAGCATGCACCACTCTGGCGAGACAGTCCGCAGGCAGATAGGGTCTCAGCCTGCGTACCAGATGGAGCTGGTAAACAGCTGCCGTGGACACAGAATTGACCTGCGCCTCCATGGACAGCTGAGAGTCCAAAATGACTCCCAGTCTGCGCACCTGGTCCTTCAGGGGCACAGTTACCCCATTCAGGACCAGGGAATCCTCCACACCTGCCCGCCTCCTGTCCCCCAGAAACAGTACTTCTGTCTTGTCAGGATTCAATCTCAATCTGTTAGCCACCATCCATCCACCAACCAACTGCCTCCAGACACTCACACAGGACCATCACCGCCTTCACTGGTTCTGATTTAAAAGAGAGGTAGAGCTGGGTATCATCCGCATACTGATGAACACCCAGCCCAAACCCCCTGATGATCTCTCCCAGCAGCTGCATGTAAATGTTGAAAAGCATGGGGGGAGGACAGAACCCTGAGGCACTCCACAAGTGAGAGCCCAGGGGTCTGAACACTCATCCCCACCACCACTTTCTGAACACGGCCCAGGAGGAAGGAGCGGAACCACTGTATGACCCCAGCTCCCAAAGACGGTCCAGAAGGATGTTATGGTTGATAGTATCAAACGCCGCTGAGAGATCCAGCAGAACTAGGAAACAGCTCTCACCTTTGTCCCTAGCCCGCCGGAGATCATCAACCAGTGCGACCAAGGCAGTTTCAGTCCCATGATGAGGCCTGAATCCCGACTGGAAGGGATCCAAATGGTCCGCTTCTTCCAGGCGTGCCTGGAGTTGTTCGGCAACCACTCGCTCAATCACCTTGCCCAAGAATGGAAGATTTGAGACTGGGCGATAGTTGGCCATCGTGGCCGCAATAAAGATGGTTTTTAAAGAAGCAGTTTAATAACCGCCTCTTTCAACAGGTCTGGGAAGGCTCCCTCACGGAGGGAAACATTCACCACCCCAGGAAGCCCATCGCCCAGCCCTTCCGGGCCAGCTTTTATAAGCCAGGATGGGCAAGGATCCAGGAGACAGGTGGTTGGTTTCACTCGTCCAAGCAGCCTGTCCACATCCTCGGAGGTAACAGATTGGAATTGATCCCACGCAATTTGACTAGACAGGACTCTAGCATTCTCCCGCCCCGGCCCTGCTCCCACGGTGGAGTCTACCTCTTCCCGAATCTGAGCGATTTTATCTGCAAAAAACTTTGCAAAATCATTGCAGGAGATCATGTGGCCAGTACTGGGCCCCGATGTAGCAGGTGGTTCCGCTAAATTGCGGACCACCTGAAAAAGTCTCCTGCTGCTGTTTTCTGCAGATGCAATAGAGGCGGTGAAGAAAGTCTTCTTCGCCGTCGCTACCGCCACTTGGTAGGCTCGACATTGAGCTCTAACCTGTGTCCGGTCAGCTTCAGAATGGGTCATCCGCCATCGGCGCTCTAGCCGTCTCAACAATTGTTTCATTGCCCTCAGATCCGTGGAAAACCACAGGGCTGTCCGGGCTCCATGCAATCGGAGAGGGCGCTTCAGAGCCAAACAGTCAATAGCCCTGGTTAACTCCACATTCCAGCGCGCCACCAGGGAATCGGCTGAAAGGCCATCAACATGGGATAAAGCATCCCCTACCACTCTCTGGAAACCATTTGGATCCATTAAGTGGCGGGGGCGGACCATCCGAATTGGTCCCACCTCCCTGCAGAGGGGAAGGGTCGCGGAGAAGTCCAGTTGCACCAGGAAGTGATCTGACCATGGCACTTCTTTCGTTTCGCTTTTACTTAGTGTCAGATCACCAACATCCATAAAGGTGAACACCAGGTCCAAGGCATGTCTGCGGCTATGGGTTGGGCCAGACTTATTCAGGGACAGCCCCACGGAGGCCATGCTTTCCACGAAGTCCCGAGCGGCCCCTTGTAAGGTCGTGTCGGCATGAATGTTAAAATCCCCCAGGACAACCAAGCTAGGTGTTTCCAGGAGAACATCCGCCACGACCTGAAGCAGCTCAGGCAGGGAATCCTTGGTGCAGCGGGGAGGTTGGTACACCAAAAGGAATCCTGTAACTGCCCCTATTGCCCAACTTCCAGAACATGCACTCAGAGAACTGGGTCTTCCCAATAGGACGCCTGGTGCAAACTAATGACTTCCTAAAAATCACTGCAACCCCCCCTCCCCGCCCACATGACCTGGGTTGCTGTGTGTAAGAGAAACCTGGTGGACAAGCAGCGGCAAGGACAGGCCCATCTGCTTCCTCCAACCAAGTCTCTGTTACACATGCCAGGTCAAATCCTCCATCCATGATCAAGTCAAGTAAAATTGAGAGTGGTTAATATTCGCTAGGGCCAACTACTGTTACCACTGGTCTTATAAAGGAGGTGTGAGCGGGCTAGGAAGCCTCTTTAGTGCTTATTCTTGTACTGAAAGAAAAGAATCAGACTGAACCCTGAAGAAAGGCCTGGCGGAACAGCTCTGTCTTGCATGCTCTGAGGAAAGATGTCAAATCCCACAGTGCCCTGGTCTCTTGTGAGAGAGCGTTCCACCAGGACGGAGCCACATCCGAAAAGGCCCTGGCTCTGGTCAAGGTAGTATCCAGAGGAAAGTCTCCCTCACCTGCTTTCTCTCTGCCTGCTTCCTCTCCTCTGCCTGACTCAGGAGGAAACCTTCAGCCAGGGCCACCGCCTGGGAACTGGTCTCTGCTCCACAGTCCCTCACCCAGCTCTCCATCTCCGGAGGAAGGACAGCCAGGAACTGCTCCAAGATCACCAGGTCCAGCATCTCAGCTTTCGTGTGCCTTTCTGGCTTCAGCCACTGACGGTCAAGGTGGTAGAATCGGCTGCAAACCTCTCGGGGTCCCTTGGCCTCCTGGCAGCAGAACTGCCTCAACTGCTGGATCTGCACCTCTGAGCAGAGGGTGTCCTCCTCACCCAGGATCTTCTGCACAGAGTTTTCCCAGAATCCCCACTGCTCCCAGTTTGGTTGGCATGGCCTCTTCCTGCTCCAGGGCCAGCTGGGTCTTGCTCATCCATCTGTGCTCTCAGGAAGTCTCTAAGAGATTGGAAGGAACCCTTTGGTCTTCTGCCAAGTTGTGTCCGTCTTAATGAGAAGCTCTAGCAAATCCTAGAAAGCAAATACATTGTTCTGTTACAGAATTTGTAGGTCAGGAGAAGAAACAAGATCCCTGAACAAGCATGGATGAGTCTTGCCAGGAATCAGGACTGGACGGTACCAGAGCCCAAACCATGAGATACCTTTTTGAAAAGAAAGAGGAGGAGGAAGGGGAGAAGAAGTAAGTCTCCAGCCCTCTAGCAATGCAGAATGTGGAGGCAACTGGAGGGATTTCTGGGAGATGAGTCAGCCTGGTTGCTCCTGCCTTCCAGTCAATGCATGAAGTCAGAACTGACTGACAAGGGAGTCATTTGAAAAATGGATGCTTGGCTCTAGTGGGGGTCCTCATCCGGGGGTCCTCAGGAGTTGTTCTCCCCCCACCCCCACTTCTGGGCACATTTCCCCCCTGCTTCTGTCTCCTTTACTTGCACTTGGACTCTCCGCTGCTCTGAAAAACAGACTCCTGGGGTGGGGTCTCTTTTTCTTTGCTCTGAGGGCCAGGTATGTATCTAGTCAACCCCCTGAGGGCCAAGTGGGTGGGGCCAAATACATCTCCTTTGGAACTTAGGCAGCTAATTTATGATTATTATTCTCTTAGATGGCTGAACACACGCACAGCCATTGATGCCCAGGTCCCTGGAGGCTCAGGGAGTAGCAGCGCCCATTTCCGGCTGCTTTGCCAGCAACAATCCCTTTGGGACAGAGAGGATGTGGTCCTGGGATGCCCTGCTCTGGGTGCAAGGGGATTGCTGCAGTGGCCTCTGTGGGGAGCTGCCCTGGGAGACGACTGGGAAACTGGTCCCCAATGCAGCAGCCAGACTCTGGGCTGGGATCCCTCTCTTTACTCCTGGCCTCTCCTTCTCACCTTTTTGGGGGTGTGGGGTGTCTAGTCCACCTCCTTGTCCAGCTTTCGAAAACCATTTGCAGATGTTTCCTCTGTTCTGCAATGCCGCTGAGCGACACCACACAGTCCCAGGGACTCCTTTGTTTAAAGAAGGAGATTTTTTCTGGAGGGGGGGCGGAAGGCCAAATGAGTTTGGGATCCTCTGCTCTGCAGGAAGGAGAGCGTGGCAGACCTGGCCCCTCCCTGGCAGGACCCTCTCCTCCCTGACTTGGGGTCCCCCCAGCCCCCTCCCCTGCTGCAGCCCTGGGACCCCACCAGATCCCAGAGAGAGAGGAGACTCACCAGATCCCAGAGAGAGAGGAGACTCACCAGATCCCAGGAGAGACACCCAAGCAGGAAAGGACTGGGGAGGGAGGGGCCTTGGCTCTGGAGGACCTGCCCCCCCCTTGCTTCCTGGCCTCTCTAGGAAGGCAGCTCAGATCCCTTTAACCCTTGCCAAGCCGAGTCCCCCAGCTGAGCCCTCTCTTGCTTGGCAAAACCTCAGATTATGATTTTTCTATGGATTTAGGGGGGCAGCTGCCCCTGGCTACCTCAATGCCCAGATCTCCTTTTGGGGGTGAGGCTATCGGTTGGGCTCAGAGCATCTCCTTCCCTGGCCAGAAACCAGAGGAACAGTTTGCAGGGGAAAGGGCTTTGCAGGAAGTAAGGAAACTCATCCTAGAATTCAGAAATGGGAGGATAGAATGGGGGTGGTCTTGATCTACAGGGTGGCAATTTCAAAAGTCTTTATAAGGTCTTGCACACCATTTTCTGGGTCCCTCCCCTCTCCTGCAAGTGAGGGGAGCCCCCTGTTGCAACAGATCAAGAAAGACCAAGCCCACAGGCTGCTGTTTTGCTCCAAGTTATCCTGGTTGGTGTCTTTCTTTTTGTCCAAGGGAGCCCTCGGATTTTTCCGTTAAGACCCCCAGGGCTGGACTGGAGGGGTGACTGCCGACCCCCCCCCCCGCTCCGCTGCATGGCGCCCCGGGAAGCCCAGCGCTGGTTGCCTTTCCTTGCCCCAGGTGTCACCACCCCTCACTTTCTGCGCAGACCCCATCCTATGGAGTCAAAGCCCCTCCAGGGCTGTCTTTAGCATATGCGCTACCGGGGTGCAAAGACCTGCCCATTCCCCCAAATTTAGTTAATTTCAGTGCACGGCACCGTGGAGAATTGTTAACGGAGAAATCTGAGGCTCCCCTGGACAAGAAACAAGGACACCGGCCAGGAATAGCAGAGCAAATTGGTCTGGATTGAAGACTGTCGCGACAGGACTCCCACCTGCCACCAGGTGGAACAGGATGGAAGCCCTGAACAAAAGAGAACCCAAAGTTTTATTAGCTGCTAATCCCCAGGTTACACCCCCCCAAAACTACATCACTCCTACATCTGGTGGCAGTAATCTGAGCATCCTGGACCCTGCCCCATGGTTCCCCTTGCCCTCCACCATAAAACCAGAAAGTGTACTCTCAGAGATATTTACATTTGCGTGTTTCCCAGCCAAGTTCCTCACACCCTTTGGTCTTCCTCTGGGTTTGTTATTTCTGGAATGGCTACCTCTCTGGCACTCAGGTATCAGGATGCCAGGGATTCTCGCTCAGGCAGAGGGGCTGCTGAGGAGCTGAGCTCACAGGTCTAGATGAATTTCTGAAGTTTCCCCACTGAGCCAGTACATAGATACATTGATCAGTGAATTCTTACATTTGGTGTTCTGCAGCAGAGGCCCTTTGAATAGATAGGTAGAAACTGCGATGAAGTGTTTTGTGGGGACAAGTCACCAAAGTGATGGTGCTGATTTTGGGGGTGGGCTGCATGTACATGATGTCTGCTGGAGGGGCAACCCCTCCCCAACC